CCGGTGCTGCCCCAGTCAAGCGGCCGCATCGATTTACGTGGCGGCGTTCCCCCCAGGGCTGCGGCGTGGGGGAGCCGGCACCCCCAGCGCCTCCCACCCGCCGGCGGCACCAGCACTGCCTCCTCGCGCCCTCCCGGGTCCAGCAGGATCCGCTGCTGCTCGGCCCGTGGCTCAAGAGACCTGCGAGAGGTAAGGAGGCCTCATCCCCCATCGCTCCTTCATAGGAGTACTACCGGCTCAAAAGACAAAAAGATCAAGATAAACCTTTTTGCAACCATTTGGATGAAAACCGTTTGCCCTAGAGAGCAGCCTTGGACTCGTCTCCCTGTGGAGCCCGTTGGGACGACTCGCTAGGGAGGACTGAGGTGCCGTTGCCCGCTGCTAGCGGCCAGGTCCTGCACGATGCTAGATCATTTCCACGGCAAGTGGGGCGCCTCCGCCTCCCAGCTCTGCATCGGCTTGTTTGGGGTGATTTGCTTTGCCGTCTTTTAAAAGGAGAGCTGTACGAGAGGAAAACATGGACAACAGGAGCCTGTGGACAATGCTTCAAGGGAAGGCAAAAACGTCCGCTCACCGAGGCGGACGTTTTCCTTCACATGCCGGAGGCATCAGCTGACGCATTTGCTCTGAACCTTGCGTTTATGTCGGGTAATTGCACGCACTGGTCTCAGCCCCCAAACTATTTCCGCAGACTTGCATTAATTTACATTTTAAAATTACAATTTGAGACAAATTATGCCCCAACAGCTAAGAACATCCCACCTACAATTAATTGTGAAAAAGTGACATTTTCTGTTGAAAACTTATTTCGACTCAGGAAGTGTGTCCTTTTCTTGATCAGTGGGTAAAAAGGAAAGAAAACCAGAGCTGTTCAACCCAAACCGAACCAAGCATCGAGGCTGACGAGCCGCTTCCAAATCCCAGCGTTACCAGAATTTCCCCCCCAGCTCTAACAACGCTAATGCTCGGCACAAAGCCGGAGCGGGGAAGCATCGCCCCGGGGCGGCAGCGGCATGGCGAAAGGCAGCGGCTCTCTCGCCAGCACAAAGCCGTCCTGAGCGCGGATCTTGGATTCCGACCTCCCCCC